CGAGGGTTTCAAGGGAAGTAACCTCCTTACAAAGGCACCATGTGATGAAAGTCTGCCATGTTGATTCATAGATTATATTACTGGCTGGGCGTCGAGAAGCCTGAATAGTTTGAATTACCATCTCAGAAAGGTTAGCCGCCCTCAAGACCGCCCACTCAGCCTCCATGCGGTTAGGCGGAGCCAGGATAGGTCGGGATGGTGAATAGATCCCTGATGAAAAAGGGACAGTATCAGGGGGAGACGCCACACTGGGCACACTGAGATTGACCAGGTCCGCGAACCGTGGTCGGCGCGACCAATGGGAGGTGATTAGGATGGGTTCACCCTCTATCAGGGGTAAGGGAGGGAAGGCGTACAGGAGACCATGAGGCCACCTGCCCCTTAAGGCATCCATCCCTTCCGCGCCTGGTGTCGTGTAACGAGACAGGTACCTGGGCAGCTGCTTGTTGGATGCCGTTGCAAAGAGGTCTAGCACCGGAGTCCTGTACCTGGAGGACAGCTGGTTGAAGATGTGATGATTCAGGCTCCACTCCGCAGGGTTGAGTGTCGTGTGGCTTAATCAGTCTGCCCTGGTGTTGTCGGAGCCCGAGATGTGTTTGGCGTGGAGACAGAGAAGGTTGGCTTCCGCCCAGATCCCTAGGCGAAAGGCAGACTCCATGAGAGATACCCCTCTCATCCCCCCATGGTGGTTGACATGCGCCTTGGCCGTCGTGTTATCTGTCCGAATCAGCACATGGGTGCTGTGGAGTGAGGATTGGAAGTGAAGGAGGGCCAGATGGATGGCCCTCAACTCCAGCCAATTCATATTGTGGGAAAAGTCGGAATCAGACCAGAGACCCTGAGCTACTTGGTCTTCCAGGTGAGTGCTACCAGACGAGGAGGTTCCCTAAAGAGGAACCCCTGAGAGATGGTTGGGGAGACCTACCAGTCCAGAGAGTGGAGGACCTCTGGAGTCAACCTGACCTTCACTAGGGAACAGCTGCTGTTGGTTTTCTGGAATGGCAGTAGAAATCACTGGAGGCAGCGGCTATGAAACCGCGCCCAAGGGACGATGGAGAAGCAGGAGACCATCTTCCCCAGCAGTTGAGACAGCTGGAGAAGAGGGACCCGCTGTCTCCTCCGTACCTCATAGATTAAGTCCCTGAGGCTGATCTGGCGTTCCCTAGACAGGAAGACCTTCCCCTGAGAAGAGTCGATAAGGGCTCCCAAGTGCACGAGACGAGAGGTGGGACGTTGTGGATGGGAGATGGAGACACCCCTGTTCTGACCACGAAAAGGCTGCCTACGATAAAAGGATTGATTGCGGCCCTCTTGTTTCTTAGTGGCTGGCTGCAAGACCTTTTGCTTATCCTTGGACTCTACCAACAGAGGGTTTAATGGGGGACCAAAGAGAAGAGAGGAAGAATAGGGAGAGGAGGCTAGCCACTGCTTTAGCTAAAGCAGGCGTTGGGTGGAGATGGAGGATGCAATAGCCTTGGACGCAAAACGGGCCGCGTCCAAGGAGGCATCTGCAGTTTATTCTAGGGCCACCTTTAATTTGTTAATGTCCCTGCAAGCCCTAGAATCCCGGGCCAGAAGCCTTGCGTGAAGTTGCCTTAGCCATAAGAGAGCAGAGCGACTGAAGAAAGAAGCAGAGGTACCCGCCCTGACAGCCCAAACCGAGGCCTGGTGTCCTTTGACCAGAGTTTGTTTTATCCTCTCGTCTTCAGGGCGAAGAGCCTCCTCAGAAGCTGCTGAGGCTGCATTAGGAGAAGAAAGGCCAATTATAGGCAAGTCAATAGAAAGTACCTCTAGAGCCTTGGTGAGTTCTGGTCCCACATTATACAGGCGCTTGTCCAAGGTATTGGGGAGGGGACATGTACCTGGTGATGCCCATTCGTTCTGGACCACATCTATGAAGAGTCTGGGTGACGGAATCATCTCCTTTTCTACCTTAGGCTGGATGAAGAGGGGGTCAGTAGTGTCAACTCTGTCCGCTTCCGTTCCCTGCGGTGCCTTGGGGGAAGGAATGCCCATGATCTTCTTGGCCTTAAAAAGAAGAGCTCGAAAGACAGCGGGTTTAAATAAACCGACAATGGTAGGTGGGTCGGGGGGAGACCTTCATCTTCCGAGAGATCTGAATCTCTTGCCGGACGTTCCTCCTCTCTGAAAACTGATGGCTGACTGGACGTGCCAGGTAACTCATGCGATGAAGAAGCTGAGAGCTCACCATTCCTGCGTCTGGAACTGGAAGAAGAAACAGACCTGTGTGGAGGAGAATGGTTAGAAGACCTGTGTTTAAGTCCTGCTGCTATGCCTCGTTCGATAGCCTCAGATATGAAATCAGCCATGCCAGGTGAGTAAGAACAACAGCAGCGGGATGGGGGAGAAATGTCCTCCAGGTAGAGGGGGTCCTCATCAGGAGTGATGCTCCTGCCACCCTTGGATTCATCCCCACTGTTGGCCAGATCACCCGCGCCCCTGGCATCCTCAGGTTGGATCATGGATGCAGCAGGGGAGAGATCATCCTCCGA